AGTTCAATACATTATTCACTTAAAAGTAAGTACTTTTTGGGGACGGTGTTACAAGTTCACCCCCCCTTAATTGGGATTTCGTCCCCGAAATCCACGTGTCTAATCGAAAAGAAACGGGTATTGCTCCCTCATTGAGACCTCAGTCTCCCAGGTTTCCTCTTCGACTCGATCACTCCTCCAAAGAACCTTCACCATAGGAATCTCCTTGTTCCTCAGTTTCTTCACCTGTTGACCCACAATCTTTACCGGTTCCACCGCATATTGTAGGTCTTCACGTATCTCCACCGGTGGCTTCTCAAGAATATGAGATGGATCTCTCACGTATTTCTTGAGCATCGATATATGAAACACGTCGTGTATCTTCTCAAGTTCTGGCGTCAACTTGAGACGGTATGCCACGGCCCCTATCCTTTCAAGGATTTCAAATGGACCAATGTATCTGGGGTTAAGCTTTCCCCGCGATATAAATCGGATGATACCCTTCCAAGGGGAAATCCTTAGGAAGACCTTATCACCGACCTCGAACTCCAATGGCCTGCGTCGTTTGTCGGCATAACTCTTCTGCCGATCTTGGGCAGCCTTGAGTCTATCCTGAATGACCTTCACCTTAGCCTTGGTGATTTCCACAAGTTCAATCCCTTCGAGCTTGGCCTCGCCAACCTCGTCCCAACACAACGGTGTCCTGCATTTCCTCCCATACAATGCCTCATATGGAGGCATGCCAATACTCGCCTGATAACTATTGTTATAGGCGAACTCTACTAGAGCCAAATGTTTGTCCCAACTACCCTGGAACTCCAAAGCACATGCCCTTAGCATATCTTCTAAAACCTGTATCACCCTCTCGGATTGCCCATCCGTCTGTGGATGAAAAGCTGTGCTAAACTTCAGTTTAGTACCCAAAGATGCTTGAAACTTGGGCCAAAATCGAGATGTGAATCGTGGATCCCTATCCGAGACAATGGATATCGGGACTCCATGTAGTCTCACAATCTCCTCCGTGTATAGCTTTGCCAATCTCTCAAGGGGATAAGTAATGTTGATAGGCAAAAAGTGTGCACTTTTGGTGAGCCTATCAACCACTACCCATACTGCATCATAGTTGTTCACTGTTCGTGGTAGCCCCACCACGAAGTCCATGGTCACATGCTCCCACTTCCATTCTGGAATGGTTAGTGGCTGCAAAAGCCCCGCCGGGTGCTGATGCTCTGCCTTAACTTGTTGGCAAGTAAGGCATCGACTCACGTACTCTGCGATATCCCTCTTCATACCCGACCACCAGTAACTTTCCTTCAAATCTCGGTACATTTTAGTACCTCCTGGATGCATAGCATATGCCGAAGAGTGAGCCTCCTCCAGGATAGACTTTTGGAGCTCTTCACTCTTTGGTATGCACACACGGTCTTTAAACAATAAAAGACCGTCATCACGTACCCGAAAGTTCTCCACGGGCCCTTCAAGGATCCTCTCGCGGATCTTCTGGCATTCCTCATCAGTGGCCTGACATCTACTGATCTCACTCAGCAATGTGGGCCTAACCTCGAATCTAGCAATGAGGACCCCACTCGTGGGCATCTCCACTTGTGCCCTCAAAGTTCGTAGACATGTGAGTAATGTCCCCGACGTACTTTTCCTGCTCAGTGCATCGGCCACTACATTTGCTTTTCCGGGATGATAGTCGATGATCAAGTCATAATCCTTGATCAACTCCATCCATCTCCTTTGTCTCATATTCAACTCCTTCTGAGTGAATACGTACTTCAAGCTCTTATGATCGGTAAAAATGTGACATGTCTCCCCATAGAGGTAATGCCTCCAAATCTTTAGTGCAAACACTACCGCCCCCAACTCTAGATCGTGGGTAGGGTAGTTCGCCTCATGTTTCTTCAATTGCCTAGAAGCATAGGCAATCACCCGACCGTTTTGCATCAGTACACATCCAAGCCCTTGGATGCTAGCATCACTGTAGATATCATACCCTATCCCCTGTATAGGTAGGGCTAGTACTGGTGCTTCGGTAAGTCGTTTCTTCAGTTCAAGGAACCCTTTCTCACACTTGTCGTCCCATATGAACTTGGCCCCTTTCTTTGTGAGCTTCGTTAATGGAGACGCCAATACGGAGAATTTTTCCACAAATTTACGATAGTATCCCGCTAAGCCAAGGAAACTACGTATCTCTTTCACACTCTTGGGTCTCTCCCAATCCATAATAGCTTTAATCTTGGCGTTGTCCACGGCAACGCCCGAACCGGATATGACATGACCGAGGAAACCAATCTCTTTGAGCCAAAATTCGCATTTTGAGAACTTGGCAAAGAGTTGCTTTTCCCTTAACCGATCAAGTACAAGCCTCAAATGGTGTTCGTGCTCCTCCTCGCTCTTGGAGTATATCAAGATGTCGTCAATGAATACTATCACGAATTGATCTAAGTATTCACTAAACACACGGTTCATCAAGTCCATGAATGCCGCCGGTGCGTTGGTTAAACCAAACGACATCACAAGGAATTCGTAATGACCATATCTAGTGCGAAATGCACTCTTAGGTATGTCACTCTCCTTGATCTTCAACTGATGATACCCCGACCTCAAGTCAATCTTCGAGAACACTATTGCCCCTCGAAGTTGGTCGAACAAGTCATCAATCCTCGGTAAGGGATACCTGTTCTTGATGGTGACCTTGTTCAACTGTCGGTAGTCAATACACATTCTTAGTGTACCATCTTTCTTCTTTACGAATAGTACGGGTGCTCCCCACGGTGAATGACTGGGTCTGATGAACCCGTTGTCCAATAGTTCTTGTAGTTGGACCTTCAACTCTTGAAGTTCGGCCGGTGCCATTCGATAAGGAGGAATCGAAATGGGTTTGGTTCCCGGCTCCACTTCGATTACAAATTCAATCTCTCTATCGGGTGGAAGCCCCGGTAGGTCCTTGGGAAAGACGTCCGGGTACTTGCACACGACTCGAACATCCTTGATGTCGACTTCTTTCTTCGTATCATCTACCACGTAAGCAAGGTATGCGTGGTACCCTTTTCTCATCATCTTCCGCGCTCTCATCACGGATATGATGCAAACATTTGATTTCCCCCGATCTCCTTCGAAACACAGCGTGTTTCCTTGCTCATCCTCGAGCTCCAACACCTTGGTGTAGCAATCTACTCGAGCATGGTGCTTCTCAAGCCAATCCATTCCTAGGATTGCATCGAACTCCAACATGCTTAGAGGTACGAAATCACAAGTCAAGGGTTGACCCGTCACTTCCACCTCACATGATGGATAGTAATGATTTCTCTCCACATCGTCCCCTAACGGTGTGGAGACTAGCAACGTTTGCGTCATAGGTGTCAACGGCACGTCAAGTCCCTCGGCGAACGCCTCACTCACAAATGAGCGTTGTGCCCCGGTATCGATGAGGATCCTCGCACACCTACCATTGATCTTTAATGTTCCTACATTTATACACCATGTAAGATACATTTTCTAATGTTTTTACACATCTTTAGGAGGTTATTAAGTCAATACTAAGGTTTGGAATCAAACGGGGGTCCAAACGTAGAAGAACGGGGTGAAAAAATCAATTTTCGGGGGTTGGGGGTCCACGCACGGCGTGCCTGGGTGGCACGCACGACCGTGCGTGCAACGAACTAACTCTGCGTGCCACTGCCGGCCAGGCACGATGCCAGGCACGGCGTGCCTACGGCCGTGCCTGGCCAAAAATACTTCGGACGCTACTGCCTTCCAGGCACGACGCCAGGCACGGCGTGCCTGCGGCCGTGCCTGGCCCAAAATTTTTTTTTTTTTTTCCTTTTCTTCGGATGCCACTGCCTTCCAGACACGGTGCCAGGCACGGCGTGCCTGCGACCGTGCCTGGCCAAAAAATCTTCCGGTTGCCACTGCCTTCCAGGCACGATGCCAGGCACGGCGTGCCTGCGAGCGTGCCTGGCCGGCAGTGGCTGTTTCCAGCTGATTTGGCCTAACTTGCCCGGTTTTGACCCCGGGGTGGCCCGCACTCAATCCCTACGACGTATATGATCAATGCAAGCCTAGAAATACATGGGAATACGTGTATTACCTGCAACGGAGTCGGGATTGGCCCGAGCATCGGCCTCGGTCATTGCGTAGACTCTAGCTTGCGTCCTTCCTTGATTCACGGACGGCGCGTTGCTGGCGCTCGCTCCCCCCTGCCCCGTACTAGCATGGGGTGCTCCGGTCCGACTTCTACTTGCCGTAGTAGCGCCGCTTGATCCCGCCCCTCGGTTTCCACCAAGTTGAGGGCAATTTGGTTTAAGATGCCCCGTGTCTCCACATTGGTAGCACCGAGGAGGGTCACGACACTTACCGGCGTGGCTCCTGTTGCAATTTCGGCACCTGGGCGCTGTCGAGGCTTGTGAGCCCAAGTTGTGCCCGCCGAAAGCCGAGTTTCCCTTGGATGGCGGCGCCGGTGCCCTGAACGATCCTCCTCCCCCGTGGTTCCCCTTTTTGTTAGAACCTTGTGGGCCATGGCTTTCCCACTTCCTCTTCTTCGCCTCATCGGCGTTCCTCCGCTTTCTTTCCTCCCACTCCTTCTCTCCCTTCAGGCCTTGTTCAACCACTTGACTAAACGTCATATTAGGCAATTGTGTTGCCCTCTCGCGTATGTCAAGGTCTAAGGCATCCCAGAAGTGGTTCACCATCCGGTTCTCATCACATATGTACTCCGGTATGAATTCGGCAAGCTTTCTGAACTTGTGCTCAAGTTCCTTCACCGTACATGCGCCTCCCTGTGTCAAGTTCGTATACTCCCTCCTCTTCATGTTTACCTCGAAGTCGGAGTAGTATTGGTTGAAGAACTCCTGCCGAAAGTTCTCCCATGTGACGGCTTCGCCGTATTTCCCTTTGACCCCGTCCCACCACGTGGACGCCATGCCTTCGAGCAATCTTGTTGCCACTCTCAGTTTCATGATGGGTGGCAGCTGCATGTCAAGGGCCGCCTCGTTGAATCTTTTGATCCATTCGGCCGCAACGGAGATGTCTCCTGTTCCATCAAACGGTTTACACCCCAAATCTCGTGCTTCTTTGATAAATTTGGAGATTCTTATGGTTGGACCTCCCACATTTTGGCCTCCATGTGGTTCAACATGGACTCTAGAAGCACCTTGGCTTCCTCCTCTCGAAGCCATGCCCGAAGGTTGCCCCGTTCGGCGCCTTCGGCGTTGTCTCCTCTCTTCGCGCTCCCGGTGGTATTGTTGGAGCAGCGCCTCGATCCTCCCAAGAGTGCCATCGTCTTCACTCTCTTCACTTACATCGTCATCTTCCCCATCATATGGGGTCTCCACCGGCTCGGTTTCCGGCCTATAGGTTGAGTCCTCATAGGACCAATAAGTCTCACTCTCAGTGTCCACGTGGCCATCGCTCACGGTTTGTTGTTGGCCTCCACGGCCCCTTCCCCTGGACACCCTAGTGGACCCCCGACTGCCACGTTCGGACCCACCCGGTACACGGCCCATCGGGTTCCTCCTCGTGATCCTTCCAATTGGCTCCATTTCTGAAAGAAGTTTAGAATGAGCCGTTAGACTCGTATCAAATGTCAAGTGACGGATAGGTACTTAGGGACATCTTTTGGCTCAAATCACCGCCATGCCAATTGTTAAGGGTACCATCTTAACAATTAGAGACTTTGCAACTCAAGTACCAAAAGTTCTATAAGTACAAAACTTTATGCTCATGGTTTTCAAATTTTTTTTTTTCAAAAGGAATTTTGAAGCTTCATTATGAAGTTTACGGACTAAGGCTCTGATACCAATTAAATTGTCACGCCCCGGACCTACCGGACACGTCAACAACCCGCCGTACAGTACGAATAGTCAACCGCAGTCCAACTCATCCATACTATACTAGGCGTCTTGAATACCATTCACACATAGTACATCCATAAACAACATAATGTAAAATAATCATTTAAAGCAGCGGAAATATTCAATACAAAGTGCACGCCACACTTTGGCAACATGGGCATACAAGCCCTAAATACATATTAAAGAAAAATAATATCCATGAGCATGGTTTAAATCGTTTTCAAAACAGAAACAGAAGAAGCACGAACCACGTCTTCTTCTCTTGAATTCTCCGATACAACGGGCGGTAGCGGCAAGCTTTAATCCCGACCTGAAACTGTGAGGTGGCCTCCCCCGTGAAGGGGAGGTCAGTACTTGGAAGCATTTGACAAGTACAATGACAACTATACTAAGTATAATCAAAGTTTCAATTTCCAAGACCCTCAACTTAGGATGTTACTATTTGAAATTTATTTATGTTCTTTCATGCTAGAGCTCGGCTCATAGTCATGTTAATTTGTGCTAGAGCTCGGCTCATAGTCACACCACATTTCGCTAGAGCTCGGCTCATAGTCATTCCTACATTTTTGTGCTAGAGCTCGGCTCATAGTCACACTACATTTTGCTAGAGCTCGGCTCATAGTCATTCCTACATTTTTGCTAGAGCTCGGCTCATAGTCATACTACCACGTGCTAGAGCTCGGCTCGTAGTCACGTCATCTAATCCCTAAACCACTTCTTAGTCTAGGCTCCATTCCTTTTGAGTAACCCTTGAGGTCTACTCCTAACATAACTTGACTTCGTAAAGTCCACCCTAATTATCCTTTAAGGTTACTTAGCTTCAATATTTTGGGATTAGCTCCCAAGCACTATTGAACTAACATCCCCGACTAGTCTTCAATACTAGTCGTCTAATCTTAATAAGCCAACGCCAATTTCATAATAATTCATACATTTCAATTTAATTTCACCTTCAAGTATAACTTGATTCAATATCAAAATATCACTTTTATTCCCTTCATGAGGTAAAAGCATATTTATCACCATACAATTTTATAGCCTACACCACAATTGGGTCATTATAATCACAACACATAATCATACACAATTTATTCTTAAATTTGTATATTATGCATTTTCTTTATGAACAATACTATATTCCATTTTAGGCATTCTTAATCATAAATAACTCATGCCAAACACATATAATTCATTTAGGCAATCTTATGAAATTAACCCAATAATTATAAACAATATAGTCGGTCATCCTCACCTTAAGTGAGCTTAAGCGCGTTCTACACTTCCCGGTTGAACTTTGGCGAACTTTGACCAACTCCGGCCAACTTTGACCAACTCCGGCGAAACTCCGGCGAAGCTCAAAGATACTCTAAATCAAGTTCCTAACAAGGTTTTAACATCATAAAACCTTAATCAATACACATAACCTCTAAAAGGTTATTTTCCGGTGAACTTGTCGGTTTGGCTTCTAAATCCATTTTTGGACATAGAACCACCTTCCAACCCCTTGTTCCACATTTATCAACATGTAGAACAATCCTAGGGTTCTTCATAATTTCTCAAATAATAATGTATTCAAGAAAAAGAGAAGAGAAAGGTAAGTGAAGCCATTACCTAGCTTTTCCTCAAGTTTTGTACACTTTTGGAGCTTATACTTTTTCCTAGAGCTTCCTTCTTGGTGGAGCTTCCTTCAACAATGGTGAGATGTTTGAGAGCTTCCTTTCTCTTGGTGGAGGGATGCTGGCCGAAAAATGATTGAGGAGAAGGGGGGTGGGTGTTCTTTTGTCTCAAATGCATGAGTGGTGTGGAAAGGGCCCACCTTGTATTTGTTTGATTCTTTTCCCATCAACTCCCACTCTCTCCATACTCCTCCAGCCGACCAACCCCTTTAATTGAGTGTCCAAATTCGTGGGTTGGCCCCCACCCATGTGGGAGGTCAACCCTTTTTGTCCAGAAGTGTACAATTTGTCCCGAAAGTTGTATTTTTCGGACTGTTTTAACTGTATTTTATTTTATCGGGTCAAATAAAATATATTATGTGATTTCCATCATTATGACTCTTATGATGAATATTCATACCCCAACTTTAATTTATAAGTCCCCGAAATTCAATTTCGGGCTTTTATCGGTTAAATTACTAGTACCGGTATTTTGGCCTTTTTTGATCAACCGGTCAACTATATATCATCTCTTTGGACCAATGAGTTATACACCACCATATAAATATTATATTGACCAAGATGAATAAAATGTACGGACTCGGGAATATCGGGCGGCCTCCGCTCCCGGTGTGGGCCCCACGTGCGAATTTACCATTCACGCAAAATAATTAAATGAAAATTCACAACTTCGTATACTCGTTAACCACTCCATAAGTTCAATACATTATTCACTTAAAAGTAAGTACTTTTTGGGGACGGTGTTACAAAACCCATTTTAATTGAGGCCCATATAATATGGACGAATTTCAGCAACCCTAAGCCATATTTTCACCCCCTCCACACCTATAAATAGGGGTCTTAGTTGAGAGGAAGGAGAGGAGAACTTCCAGACGAAGAAACGCTGCAGCAAAGCTCTGAAGAACTCCCGAAAGGCTCTGAAGGATTCCGAAGAAGAGGAAGAGATCAAGCCACGTTTTTGTCAAGAATATATGAATAATCCTTTGTGATTTCATCGATTCTTGATCAAACAAAGCCAAAAGTTGAAGAACGTTCGAAGATCTGAAGAACGAAGCTTGAAGATTCGAAGATCTGAAGAACGAAGCTTTGAAGATTCGAAGATATGAAGAACGAATCTTTGAAGATTTGAAGATATTCATATGAAGATTGAATCAATATTCAATTGAAGATCAAGCCATATATCCCGGGAAGCCCTTTAACAGAAGATCAAGCCACATAACGGCCCTTTTGTTGAAGATCAAGCTACTTGAAACCGGAGGTCCTTCAATATTGAATTTTGCATTCAAGAAGATTTGAAGATCTGAAGAACGAAGTTCGAAGATTTGAAGATCTCAAGAACGAAGATTCGAAGAATCGAAGAACGTTCGAGTTTTTGAAGAATTAGAGATTTAATTTTAAATTAAATTCTTTAATTATATTCATATCAAATCGCAAGTGAAGAATCAGAGGATTCATATTTAGAGATTGTGCCCGATATTCTCACATAATATTATTTGCGATCAATTTTAAGTAAATACTTAAAATTTGTTTCACAGGCCCATTTATGTAGTACCTTTATTGGGATTAATGTCATTCTTTGGAGGCTACTTTAGTGATATGTGCGTTTCTACCTAAGGCAAGCTTCACTAAAATACATCTTCACCTCAATATAAAAACATATAATCCACGACCTGAATTACACTTGCAACATAAAATTCACAATTCTTTCACTAATTTGTTTAATTGGAAAGCTCAAACAAAATATCCGAGTATATATACAAATAGAACACTCTGACCTTAATTGTAACATAAATGCAAATAGAGAACACTTCGATCTTAAATAGGACATTGGGACCGGAAATATAAGAGCTTGACCAAACACCGATCTATACCTAAAAATGGCCAAAACACCACACGATAACTTAAATTTAAAATAAAAAAAATAAAATAAAACAGGAAGAACTAATTTAAGTGCGGGAAATGCCGAAAGAGAGAACTCGATAGTCATAAAAGTGTAAAAGAGAGTAAGAGAAAGAGAAATAAAACTAGGAAGTGCCATCAATATTTTAGCTAAAAAGGAAAAAATATCTTGTATTGACTTTTAGAAAAATCCTTCAAAGAAAGCATTTGTTTGATGAATTTCAAAAGTTTAGAATCATTCTCCTGACCATTTCACCGCATCGAGTGTTACAATGTCCACTAGTCCCCTCATTCCTATGTGAATCCTAATGAATTGTTTCAAATGATGATAATTTGTTTTCTACTCCAAATAAAATGACTTTTTTAATATCTACTATCTTCCGTCCCTTCTTTACTCTTTCCGTCTCATTTGAATTTGCAAATTACATATTCATATTCAAATGACTAAATGTATTTCACTCGACTTTGTCAATTTCTATGTTCTCTATATTTTAAAAATATTGTTGCTTTCTCGTTAAAATAAGAAATGTGCAAGTCTCCTTATTTAAGGAATGTTTGCAAAAACTAAAAAGAGGTGCTTTTCAGCCTTTTGTTTTAAATGATAAATTGACATTTTCAAGTGATAATTTCTGCTTAAATTAAATACTTAAAGGCTAAAAACTGGAAACAAGTTGAATGATGATTTAAATTGTTTTCACTTTTTCTATTAAACTTATTTTATCAAACATTACTCACTTTTACTCTTTTAGAGACATTTTTTTATCAAACACTATCAACATTTTACTATTAAGCTATTCTTCCATAATCACTTTAAAAAATCACATTTTAAAATACAAGCAGTCACAAACATTCCTTCAATCTCTTGTGCACAAACATTAATCGTACACTAAATGGTCAAATAGATCATCGAACTAAACTTAGAGTCGTATATAAGAGGACAAGAGATTGCACTTTTTAAGTTAGTTCGACCATTTACTTATTTTGTATCTAATTCCTTAGTTTGATTGTTTAAGCTCCCAACTACCTAGTAAATCAAACTTAAACATTTTTCTCCTTTTTTTATATAAAAAGTTATGATCTGAAGTTCGTGTCCTCACTTTCCCTTTTCCTCTCTTCTTCTCCGCAGCTTAGTTACACATTTATGGTGACGGGAGAGTATTTGCATATTAGATCACGACTGAAGTAAGCAAGGTAACATTTGAATTGGTCTTATACGGCAAAGGATATAAAGGATTGCCAACAGAGTGGCCATAACCGTGTAAAAGCGTAAATTACTTAGAGACTATTCGGCTTCAAATATAGTTCAACTTGCAGGCCAAAAGTCAACCGGAATGGATGGGATTGCCCTGCTGGCGGCCGCCGTGGGCGGAGGCGGCGGCGGAGGTCCGGCTCCGTTCCTTCTGAAGACCTATGACATGGTGGACGACTCGGCTACCGACGACATAGTGCAGTGGACTCCCGACGGCCACAGCTTCGTGGTTTGGAACCCTCCCGAATTTGCGCGGGTTCTCCTCCCGACCTACTTCAAACACAACAATTTCTCAAGTTTTATTCGTCAGCTCAACACCTATGTATGTCATTCGTTTCACTGTTCTCACCATTTGTCATCTAATCGATTAAATTCTTCTAAAATAGTCCAGATTTTCTTTGATTGATTCTCGTAATTTAATCAGTAAGTACCTCTGCGAATGTCTGGGTATCGCTTTTAGGGGATGGAGGTGTATGCCTTTGGGATGAGAGGGGTGTTTCAGTGAAATTCGTTGATTAGTAATTCTGCCTCTAAGAACGAATAAAAAATTGGTCTTCTTTCTTTCAATTATGTTAGATAGGTATTGTTTATTCTAAATGATCAATAATAGGTATTGTCTGGGAATCGTTTTTAGGAGATTGAGGTGTATAGCCTCAGCTGGATACTGTATTTCGGTTTGTTTTTCCCTAATTCCCTTCATGTGGTTTCTGGACTTTAGGAAAGTTTAGGTCTGTTTTTCTGGAGCAACAGTAAATGCTGTTTCTACGAAGCGGAACAGGAATCGAAAGTAGAATTGAGTACTATGTGTTTTCTTACATCTACTTCACTAAATGCAAAACTAAAAGGTTATGAGACTAAATTGTTTGATAGCGCTATCGTTGTAACGTGTTTTTGAAGGAAAGTAGCTTTTTTTAGCAATGAAGCAAAATAGCTTAAGCAAAATGACAGTTAAGTTCTTTTTTTTTACAATCATGTGTCAGTTGGTTCTGCTATTAATCCTTAGTCAGGATCTTAGATTCATCAGGATCTCAGAATCACCTCTAGGTTTTTTTTTCCAGCACCCTAAAAGCTAATGCCCAGCACCCTAAAAGCTAACTCTTCTAATATGTTGATGGGTTCTGCTATTGTGTGCTCATGGGCACATGTTAAGAAGCAATTAATGTGTGACATCCTTGAGTTTCAAGAAAGAATTTAATAATTTTAAAAATTAATGTATGATTTAAAAGTTCAGTACAATTATCACCAATGTTTATGCATTAATCACCATTTTCAAGGACCATTTAAGAAAATCATAAGTACTAAATAACATTATTTTCTTCTTAACATGGTCCTATACTCCTATAGGCACGCATTTGAAAAACTTTATATTAGTTTACCTCCAACTTTTGTTGACATTAATGTCTCTGCAAGAATACTATGGTTAGTTTTCTCAAACATTGATACCATATTATGTGCATAAATGGAAATTTTTTACTATCTTACATCACAGGCGCTTTTTTCTCTTGTTGACTTTGTACATATGGGTAAAGTGCTAACGGTCTCAAGAGGGAAGCTGATGATGTGTTAAAGCATGCAATGTTATGAGGAATGATAAATCTCTGTTCTCTTTCACAGGGTTTCCGAAAGATTGACTCGGAAAGATGGGAATTTGCTAATGAAGAATTTATGAGAGGCCAAAAGCATCTCCTTAAGAATATCCACCGCAGAAAACCAATTCACAGTCATAGTCATCCTCCAGGTTCTGCAATAGATCCGGAAAGAGCTGCATTTGAGGAAGAAATCGATAAGCTTACTCATGAGAAGAGCACACTTGAGGCTAACCTCTTAACTTCCAAACAGCAACAGTCCACTGCAAAGCAGCAGCTTGAACAACTAACTCAGCGGGTTGGTAATATGGAGCAAAGACAAGAAAATTTGTTGGCATATTTCAAGAAAGCTGTCCAAAATCCTAAGTTTGTTCAGTGCCTTGCTAAAAAACTAGAATCCATGGATTTTTCAGCATATACCAAGAAAAGAAGATTGCCTCTAGCAGTAGAGCATTCATTTCCTGTTGAAGAGACAGTCTTGGTAGACAACCATAGCAGTTGCAGATCTGAGCTTGGTAACATTTGCCGTCAAGATCTCTCAAATAAGCTGAGTCTGGAGTTATCTCCAGCCGTTTCAGATGTTAATTTCCTTTCTCATAGCACTCAAAGCTCAAACGAAGACGGGGGAAGCATTCCAGAAAGGAGAGTATCAGAAGGATGGCCAAATGATTTGCAAATGGGAACTGCTCATGCTCCTATATGTGTCCCAGAAACAGTAGAGCTTTCAGATACAGGGACATCATTTACGCTAATGATGGATTCATCTTTGACCAGCAAAGCCAGTGCAGTCACTAGTCCGAAACTTAACTCATTTCAACATTCATTTACTACCAACGAGGAAGTTGATGACCATATGTGCTGCCATTTGAACCTTACCCTAGCATCTTCTTTATTACCACAAACAAGTGATATGGTTAGATGTTCAGTGTCAAAATCCTGCATCGAAGGCTGCAACCTCCAAGATCGTAGCTCTCCACAGAAATCCAGCTACCCTTCCATTGATGACTCCGATGATAAGTCAGCACCAAGTGATAAGCAAGGGCCTGCTGCACCTCCAGCTCGTGTGAATGATGTGTTCTGGGAGCAATTCCTGACCGAGAGGCCAGGTTGTTCTGATAATGAAGAGGCAAGCTCTTGTTCCCGAGAAATCCCATACAATGAGAAAGAGGATCATAGAACAAATCAGGGAATATCTAGAAATACTAGCAGCATGAACAAACTCTCTCTCTAAGGTCAATATTCTTCCCAATGTTTCAACCAAGGAGTATGATTCAATTTTTTCAATTTTTGTGTGTAATTAACTTCTGACACTCACTTAAGCTGGTAGGTAATAATAATGGAGCATACTGTGCCAGCATATATACCTCCTGTATCTGTTTTTTTAAACAATAGTTTATATTATTGTATATTACATGCTCTTAACCGTAATGAGGGTTGACCACCATTTTTATTCATATTTGTATACAGAGAGAGTATTGGTTATCGGGAATATTAGTTGAAGCTGAATCTGCTTGAGATGATTACATAGTACTATGTATATACTCCGTACTTTATATCTTTCCCCGTGGATCACTTTTTACAGTTAGATTGTCAATTTGTCAGTGATATATATATGTACAGTTGTACACTAGTTTATTCTTTCTTACTTATCAAGAACCAGAAGAACCAGAATACCAAATAACTACTCCGTATAATATTGCAAGTTGAGTTCATGTTTCTTCTCCCCTTTATCAATGAGTCAATCCATATGCCATTAAGGACCTAATAGATATGCAGTGTCCCTCAATCTCCTCTCCCACAGTCCCACACCCGCAGTGGCGGGTCTAACACTCCAACTACAAGATCTATATTATTTACAATTAAAATTTTGAATAATAGTAATGTTAAATGTAACAATTTTAAGCATGTACTCCTATCTCTTTAACAAATTTTTTTAGGAAATAAAGTTAAAAGTAGAAAATATCCCTCTAAACAAAGGTAAACTAAATCATTGCATTAGTTTTCGAAATCCTATACCTAAAAGCACTACGCTGGAGAGAGAAAATTCTCCCGCCTAAGCGTTTAAGGCTGATCTGTAATTTCACTTACGCTTCAATTCACTCGTGTTTACCTTCTCTCCCTCGACCTATCGCCCGAGCTTAAGATATGTCTGCCACTCTTCCTGCCTTCTCTCTTCTTCAGCCGCCCACCCGCACCGATTTAGCTACCAACGTCGCCTACAAAAACACTTTCTTCATCTCCACGTCTGCACCAGTTCTGGGAATTCAAATCTTCACTTTTCCAACGATAGGGCTGAAAAGTTAAATCCCGATTTTCTGGTAAAAATTCCCTCTTCTCCCTTCAATCACATGAAATATGACCACTATACGTTGCATAGATAGTGTTTTTCTTTTATTTATGAAAATGATAATCTATTTTGACCTAGGGTTTCATTCAGGCCATTCTCCTGCTTCATTTTAAAGCCGCATTTTGTATGGTTATCATGTTTACAGCTGATTCATGGTACGGAGAAAGTGACAGCCATAGTCAGTGGAGAAAGCATGTTTTTTTGTTCTCTGTTTAAAAATTCTTGTGGTGTTTATTTGAAGATTCTGACTTAGAATCTTTATCTCTGACTTAGAATCTTTATCTTTACTCTTAGAATTTTTGACAAATTTCCTTTTCTCTTTCAAGCAATAAGTTTCCTATTTGCTTGGTAGTTTTGGAGCTGGTTTCAAGCAATAAGTTTACTCAGGGAAAAATGAGAAAAATGTTTTAAGTTTCCCCCACAAGTTTCATTTAGTGTACAATATTTAAATTGCAGTGTTGTCTTCTTTCATTCTTTTTAACACCAATGTGATTTAGTCAATATGTGTAGTTACTGGGCTTACTTCCCCTTAAAAAATAATGCTAATGCAAATACAGAAATGTACGTTCTGGTGGTTGACTCTCATATCATATTGATGAATATTTTTTTTTTGCTCATTATCACAAAGAATAACCGTTTCCCCTTAGGAGTGGACAATGCCCATCTTTTACGATATTATCAAATCCCTCAACTCTTTGAACCGAATTGTTTGAATAAGACCCGGTTTGTGTCAGCTCTTAACCTGTTTCCCCTGGATCTCCAATCAGCCTGCTTATTCTGTTCTTACTATCAAAGTGCTATTTTAGCACGTTTTTTATGTTTATCTATCACTTAGACAGGTCAAGTTAACCTAACAACAATGCCGATAAACAGTTATATATGCCTGGATCTACTTTTGATAGAATATGCATTTGCTGGAGGAGCCCATCAATTTATAATATGACATGTTGCTATGATATACTACCTCCATTTCATATTAGCGGTTTCATTTATATAAAAAAGATCACTATTGATATTGAACAATGATAAACAAAGGGAGAGTTTATTCAAAAAAAAAAGTGGACAATATTAAGAAGTAAAGGACTTACCCCATACACTGATACACCCATCTTTAATAAATACGTAGTACAACTTTTATGCAGCTGTCGTTTAATCATCAAGAGTACTTTATTGAGCTGCTTTTTTCTCTGTTTCAATATCTACTCCAACAATATTTGAAATCTAGACATTTTGTCATGCCTTATGCTTCTTTCTCTGTTTTAGTATCTACTCCAACAATTTAATCTAGGCTTCAGTTTAACTTCCCTGTTTATCTTACAATCTTCTTTTAGGGTGAACCTGTCTCTTATCACACTTTTGAGTGACATGTTTCATGGTTTCTAAAAATGATTACCATTATACGTGATATTAATAATAGTATTCCCAATTAACAACTTAGTTGGAATATATGATTTACATTTTATATTTATTTGAGCTTAGATTTAAAACTAATATATTTATTCCCAATGAGCTTACATTTTATATGATATAATATCCATTTATCATTTCATCATTATTTTTCAACCTTAAAATAATCCAACGTTTCCATGTGATTTTCAGATCTAATATATGAGTTCACAAGATGAGACAAACTTTTATACTTTTTTACTTGGGTTTAATGAGTCACTTTTGATTCTATAGTTTTCTTTTTATATGCTTTCCAAAAACACTTCGATTAAATTGATCATATGCATATTGCGTAGTATCAAACGAATCTACCAATTAAATTATTAAGTTTGTTATCTATTTGATGTGTTGTATTCTCTTAGTGTGAAGGAGGAGGCTACTTAGGGAGGGTTTGCAACAGCTTAAAAAGGCGCTTCTCGACTTTTGACTTAAAAAAGTTAAAATTAATGTTTTCGAATGACAACTACTTAAAAAAGTGTTTCTCGGCTTTCGTGTGAAAAGTGTTTTTTATTTTATTATTACACAAAAATTACTTATTTTACCAAACATTACAAACATTTACTTTTCAAATTCATTTTTTCTCAAACACTATCAACTTTTACTACGGAGTACTAATTACTTTTTTCAAAATCACTTCCAAAAGTGTTTTTTTTTAACAGTTGCAAACATTCCCTTAAATAGTAAGCTAACCAATCTTAAAATCTGAAGCACGTACCATGGTTGTAGGTTTCAAGGTCAGATTAGCTCGATGCAATTCAAGGTTGGAATTATATTGGCTGGTGTGATTAGTTGTACTTGTACCACAAGACATGAATTGTGGATTTGTTTTTTGAAAAAAATTGGTGTCGACTATGATTTGTTTTTTTGAATGATTTTAAATTCATCATCATATGCGAGGTCGGATCTAAATAGTGTCGACTGTCTAGTACGGAGTATTGTTCAAGGATGTACATCTGATGAATGATGAACTAAAAAATGTCAAGTGTGAAAAAATAAATGTGCAGAATTAAGGTTGTTGGAAAAAATGTGTAGAAATTTGTATCAAATTCAAAAAACGATTAAAAAACTTATTTCGAGCACATCTTCAAAAAAACCCTATTTTAACACATAAAACTTGTGTGTTAATCTGTTAGATCATTCACTACAAATATTTTTCCATTAATTATATCATACCATTTGGATACTCCACATTTTAAAAAAAATGAACGGCTATTGTAAGAACGCTACATATAATGAGGTTTTGGCCTTGTTTGGCATATGGCTTATCAGCCATTTTTTAGCTTCTTTGACTACAATTAATGAGTTTGACTATTTAAAAAGCTAAAACTATTGTTTGGTAAATTACTTATTAAGTTAGCTTATTGGACCCTACCAGCCAAAAATCAAAACGCTGCATAGCCTAGCGATTGGATTCGGCTGCTCCAGCTTGTGCCTGTAATGCCCTTCATTTATTCTTCGTTTTTAATTCGTTTCTAATTTTCTATCCCCTTAGTTAAAATATTCTTTTTAGTTGCTCTGCACGTGTTACGTTGTAACTTCAACATGTTATCCACAATTTTTTTTGGGTACAACGGAAATAAAAAACGGGAAATAACAAAAGCTATAGTCTAATAATTTCGAGTCCATTTTTGTCCTCCCAAAGAAGGCGAGCTAGCTCTTCCGGTGCCTCTTCAAGAATAGTCATTCCTTTGGGATAGGAATGAGCCATATTTGCTAAAAAATCAGCGCATTTGTTACCCTCTCGT